ACCTAGCCTTGTTTCTCACCCTTACACCCCAATAGAAGACATTGGCCTTGCCTTCTGCATCCTACAGTCCACTTCTTTCTTAGGTCTGATCACTATATTCCCATTCCCCACAGTCCGACTAAGTATGAATTAATTAAAGTACTTCATACTAATAAGTAAATGTAGCTTAACCCACCATGGTTCAATTCCACAAATATGAAATTCTACTATATATATAAGGCACTGTGTTTAATTTACCAAAGTACAAGAAAAAATACTTTAATTCAATCTTTTCATGGACAATTAAGAGAGACACATGAGTGTCTGCTTCACATCACACTCTCCCCATCCCTTTTCTTTCCATCCTGATGACCCTTCTCCCCACCCCCCGATCCCACGAGTCATGGAAGAATTTCCAAGGATTCAAAATTGCTTCCAGTAACAGTCAATTAGTGGGAAAATGTGGATGGTATAGCAAACATTAAACATTCAAAACCATAGCTGAGTAGAAGAGGGTCTCCTGGATTTAATTTTACATATTAATTGCAAGTACAATTAAGGGCTTCTCAATAAATCAATTTCCTTACAAGATACCTTTAATTTACCTCTGCTCAGAACCCTGAGTTATTAAACCATAAATACTGAAAGTTTTTTTTCTTTCGGTTATTTCCAGTTAAAATGTTAATAAATAAGATCCAGCTGGCATGGCTCAGAGGTTGAGCTCGACCTATGAACCAGGAGGTCACAGTTCAATTCCAGGTCAGGGCATTTGCAGGCTTGACACCAGTGTGGGAGTGCAGGAGGCAGCCAATCAATGATTCTCTCTCATCACTGATGTTTCTATCTCTCTCCTGGATCTCCCTTCCCCTCTAAAATCAATAAAATAAAATCAATGTTAATAAGGACCAGTTCAGCCGAAACCGGTTTGGCTCAGTGGATAGAGCGTCGGCCTGCGGACTGAAAAGTCCCAGGTTCGATTCCGGTCAAGGGCATGTACCTTGGTTGCGGGCACATCCCCAGTAGGAGATGTGCAGGAGGCAGCTGATCGATGTCTCTCTCTCATCGATGTTTCTAACTCTCTATCTCTCTCCCTTCCTCTCTGTAAAAAATCAATAAAATATATTTAAAAAAAAATAAGGACGAGTTCAATTTGCCCTACTTTATTTAAAGATTATTAAACTCGGCTGTTAAACTTATCTAGTGTTTTGTTTGTTTGTTTGAATCCTCACCAGAGGACATACTTACACTAATTGTAGAGAGGAAGGGAGAGAGAGAAATATCAATCGGTTGCCTCCTGCAGTGTCCATACCAGGGAATGGAACCCATAATCCTTTCACTGCACAGGACAATGTTCCAACCAACCCAGCCACCTGACCAGGGCTTTTTTCATTAGATGTGACATTTTTCTCAAGTCCTCCTAGGTTTGAATTCCAAACGAATTGGCATACTTGCTTTAAATCTTTTTTTTTTTTTTTAGTTGTGAACTGTATTAATTCTCACATATATCAAGAGGTCCTAAAATGGAGAACAGGATACAACTACTGACAGCTTTGGGTTTGGTTGGGACACATGAAGCTATTTTCAGGTGTTTTAATTCATGGTCAATATTTTTTTAAATCAAGAGGCTTCAAGCAAAAATCTCGATTTCCTGTGTTCTCTGGCCCCATATTCATGTAGGGCACTAATCAAGTGGGCCTGAGAACTGGATGTCCCTCTTAGATGAGGCATAAACTCTCTAGTGCATTTCACTCATTTTCATTTTCATCTGCCTAGTACCTGAAGGCATGTGAGTTTGCTATTCATAAACAATTTCTTTGAAAGGGTACATAGTATTTTCCACACTTCAGCAAGTCACCTAAATGTAAAAAGCCACAAATGGACAATTACCATAGCAGTTTGCAACTTCATAGTTAATTATTTTAAAATTTCATAAAGCTTAGAAGGGTGAGAAAGAAAGAAATTCAGACTGCTGGAAGGGTGGAATACAGAAAGTAAAAGGCCCACCTGAAAGCTTTCTGGGGAGTGAGGAAAAACAGGTGGAAGAACTCAAAAGGATTTTTGAGACACCCAAAGCTTTTCCTGATTGAACACTATATTACTCCACGGTTCCTCTTACCAGCTCAATGCTTCAGGCCCACCCTTCCCGCTTTCTCTTTCTGTATAACCAGAGCAGTTAGGTCACAAACTGCGAAATGTCAGAAACATTTATGAAACACATTTAGACCTTAAAAGTAAGTCTCACACTTTTTTAACAGCCTTAATCCACCATCAAATCCTTTCCCAGGTATTTTCTACTGCTTTCTGCTTTTACTGAAATGACAACTTGCAGCCCTCATTTTCAACTCCTGGACTTCAGTCCTGGACGGGCTATCCCAGTGGTCGGCAAACCGCGGCTCGGGAGCCACATATGGCTCTTTGGCCCCTTGAGTGTGGCTCTTCCACAAAATACCACGTGTGGGCGTACACGTACAGTGCGATTGAAACTTCCCGGCCCATGGGCAGAAGTCGGTTTTCGGCCTGGGCGAGTCTATTTTGAAGAAGTGGGGGGTGTCAGTGGGTCAGGCGATGGGAGACCCAGCACAGGCGGGCAGCGGGATACGCAGCGCGGGGGAGCTACATTGTTTTGAGGTACGTTCGCTAAGGTTGACCCCTTCCAACTCTCCCATCCACACTCGTCTATCTGAAACAAGTATATGAGACGTGTGGATGGGAGAGTTGGAACAGGTCGACCTCAGCAAACGCACCTCAATCAGATTGAGGACGTTTTTAGCAAAGGCCTGCTTAGGAGTACCCTAATTAAGTTAATAACCATGTGCCTACCTATATAGTTTAAGTTTAAAAAATTTGGTTCCTAAAAGAAATTTTAATCATCGTACTATTGATATTCGGCTCTGTTAACTAATGAGTTTGCCGATCACTGGGCTATCCAAAACAGAAAATATTTGTTGGCCCTCGCGGTTTCATTCCTTATATTATCTCTTCTTTCAACTTTTACCGTCTATTTCATTCAAAATGTATCCCTAACCTCCTCTCTAAAATATTTTGATCAGATTTGTGTAGTGGAAGGGTGGGGAAGGAAGGTACCTAACTGTCCACATAAAATCAATATACCATACTGCTTCATTGACTGTAAATGTAAACAAAAAACATAAAGACGCTTCAGGAAACACTATTTAAATAATTTTTGCACGCTAAGTACACCAAGTGACAAACAGGTGAGGGAGGCTCTATCTTTAGCATGTCTGGATTGGTGTCTTTTCCTCATGGACTCAAAATACTGGGGAGCAGGGGCAAATACCAAATCTGAAGGACCAGGGTGGTCACACTGCCCCCACATGACAAGTTACCAAGTGAGGTCTCACCTCCCCGCACCCCATTCCAGAAGATACAGGGAGTTAGGACGCTTGCCTCTGAATAAGGAAAAGAGAAGTTTTTCTGTGCAAGTGTTGGGAGAAAAAAAAAAACCTTTACCACACGTGATGCTACTACAGCCTAAAAGCACGCAACACATCATTAGGGTCTCACTCCTCCTCGCCCAAAGGGAGACTATTTGCCACCTTATGCCCGATTGTGATGCGCCCTCCTCCGGGTGTCGCGGCGTCAGCCCGGGGACCACAGAAAAGGGGCGGGGCACGGGGGTTCCTCAGCCCCGGGAGGGAGGGATGAGGGTACGGCCCGTCACCCCCGGGGAAAGGCCTCCGGGCTTCCAGCCCACAAACAGCACCGCCGAACCCAAGCCCCAACCCGGCCTCTCAAAATTGGGCGCCAGCGACCGGAGCCCAGAACCCCACCCTCGGTCCCCTAGCAGGGTCGGCACCGCCCAGACCACCGGTAGCCACAGCAACCCAGTCCTCAAGCCCAGATTTGCCCTCCTCCCCCTTCCTCCTGCGCCCCCGCCAAGCCCAGCCTCCGGCACCGCCCCCATCGAGTTCCCCAGCGGCGCCCAGTCACCCACGAACCTGTCGACCTCCGTGAGCGTCCACGAAGGGCCTAGGCAGAAGCCCGGGCCAGTGACACCTCCGCTTCCTCCTCAACTGGACCCCTCCGGAGGTGTCGGTGGGGACGGCCACTCGGGCGGCCGCGGCTGCTAGAGCCGCCCGGCAGGTAGCTGGCCGGCTCCGAATCCTCTTCTCGCGAGAACCCGCAGTTCAAAGAGGCGAGACTGAGCTGCGTTCTCGCGAGAATGGCGGCTCACCGCCCAAGAGTGGGCGGGGCTCGGAGTGCTCCGACAGTTCAGACAGCTGCAGCGCCAGTGGGCGTTCAGTCTGGGGGCTGGTGCTGCCAAGGGGGAGGCGTGGCTGCGATCAGCGTTATACGCCCCCGTGCTCCCCCTTAGTGTGAAGCCCAAGTCTTTTCCTTGGACTTCTTATCGCCGTGAGAGAACAGCGGACGTCGTTAGCAGCCCAGAAATACCGCTGGGATCCCGAGTTTGTTGAGGCGGTCGTCGTGAGGGCCACCCTCTCTTCCCGAACGTGCACAGCTGTTTGTTTTTAAACGCTGGGTTGGCGGGAACCGGGGTGCCCGCGGGACTCCTGCAGTCAGTCGGCCGCCGGTCGGGTAACTTGGATGCGGTATTGCTCCCTGTGGGCAGAAAGTCGCCGAGTAATAGTTGCAGTCGCTCAACTTTACCCACCATGTGCTGAACGCTGGACTGTTCAAACGGAAAATGTAAAAAGACACGGTCTCCACCCTCGAAGCTCACACCCGAGGCGGAG